CCAGCTATTTAACTCACGTTCGTTTGTTATTATGGTATGTTTGTTATTTATTTAATTTATACACGTTATTTAATAAGAATTCGATTACATTGCAAACCTGACTAGGTCAGTGTGCGTCCTCGTTAAAACGATATTTTCAATGTCATAAAAAAATCTAATTTCGCAAATTTGTGTCACGTTATTAAAAAGATTACTTAGATCTGATGCTTAATTAATCCTGTTACACTTGGTATTCATTATTATTATTAGGATCTGCTTAATCTGATCGCTACTCTTTCTTTTGGCCAACCAATATCTGTCTTTATCAAGAATAATTTCAATTTTTAAATTCCTAAATATCTCTTTTTCATTGCTCAGTCATTATTAAAACGGTTTTAAATTTGTTTTCTTGTTCAACCTATATTTTGAACTTAATAAAGAAAAATAGATCTTGATCATACAAAACGGTAAAAAATCTCTTAGTCTTTTGTCATATAAATATATATGAACTCCTGATAAAATGACATTACCGATGCTCGGAGAATAATAATAACTAAATCAATAGCAAGTTCAACCAACTGTCGCAAATAAAAATAAGAAAGACGTCAGCCGGACTGTGACTGATACATCTCCTTTAAAATAAAACCAAAAATAAGTTTTCGCTTAATATTTTGCATTTATTTTGTGTAGTTAAATAAAACTTCATTTAATGTCTAGTGTAATTAACCTAGCTTGTTAGAGTTTAATGTATACTTTAAAATTATTATAACTTGCCTTAATAATTAACGAGTAATTTTTATTTAATTCGTTTTGATAAATTTTTAATACGTCTTTAAAATGTCTAGGGTATTTTAAATTTTATATACATTTTAACGTAAAAAAGCTTTTGCTAATGTTTGACATATATGTACAGTTCCACTAATATATTCATCATTATCATTCCGCCAATCGCGCCCACTCCTGGATATAGATCTCCTTTAATTTCTTCCAAAGTTCTCTACACTGGGCTGCTCGCAGGCAGTTTTTGCTACTGTTTTCACGTTGGTCCATCTGGTCAGTGGTTGTTCTCGGTGTCTTTCATAGTTTTTGGTCCTGCATTCCTTGATTGATCTTGTGTTTCAGCTATGTACCCTGCTCAGTTTCACTTAAGTATAGTGATTTTTTCGATGACGTTTTGAACGCCTAATATTTGCTCGGTTTTTTGGTTTAATATGTGGTTGCGAAGGCTCACACTCAGCATTTCGCGTTTTAGGGTATGTTGTCTTTCTGCTCCATAAGTTTGTACTGGTAAAGCACACTTGTTACTAACCTTTTGCTTGAGATACACGGGAATGGATTATTTTGGAATATAGCTTAGTTTATCAAATGCTGCTGATCTGATGCCTATTAGTTTTTGTATTTTAGGTGTTTGATTGCCTTTGCTTATTTTAATTTTGAGTTGAAGACTCAAATATTTGTAAGTGTCTGTTTGTTGTATAGTCGTCAACTTTGGCTCGACAATTCTCTGTGAATCCTGACCTGCTCTAAGATTAGTCGCCATTTTGCTTGGTTTCTCTTCTGATCTCTAGTACCCCTAAGTCGGTGTCAATTCCATCTTACCACCTAATTCGCGGTCGGTCGCTGCTTCTTCTTTCTATAGGTATTCTTGTCGTTAGTTTTCTAGCAATTATGTTGTCGAGCATTAGCATTAGGTGTCCGGTGAATCTGGTAACGTTACTGGTTTATTAAAAAGTTGGTATAATTTGAAATTAAATCTTTTGCGCCACTACCCTTGGTCCAGAATTCCCAGAAGTCTTTTATGCTTCTGCGTTAGAGTTCATGTTTTCCCCCATATGTGAGGACCGGCCTCTGCAGTGTTTTGTACATAATAATTTAAGTTTTTCTTTGGATATTTCTTGAGTGAAATTGTTTTTGGAGTCCATAGTATGCCCTATTTGTAAAGTTTATTTGCCTTTAAATTTCTTCTTGTGTTTTATTGGTAGTAGTCACTAGCCAAGGTATGTGAAGCTGTTAACACGTTCAAAGATGTGACTTTGAAATGCTGTTTCCTGTTCCTCATTTGCTATACAATCCTTAGTAACCAACATGTACTTGGTTTTGTCTTCGATGATGATTAGACCGATCTGTTTAGCAGCCGTTTTCAATTATAGGAAATATTGCTTAACATCTCGCTTGCTACGTTCTATTATGTCAATGTCATCAGCGTATGCTAAGATTTGTATCAATCTATTGTAAATAGTATCGTAATGGATCGAGAATTTTTTCCTTGTATCCTAACGCTGGCTTTTAAATTAGACATTGTCAGGCTCGTTAATCACATAAGTTTTTCTGGTATACCAAACTCACGCATTCATTGGTATAGTACTATTTTCTTGACACTGTAGTATGCGGCCTCGAATTCTACAAATAGGTTTTGGGTTTCAATGTTAAATTCCAATGTTTTTTCGAGAATCTGTCCTATTGAATAAATCTGGTCAATTATTCATTTTTCTGAAGTAAATCCGGACTGGTATTTTCCAACTGTGCCAACTGTGTAAACTTCTAGCCTTTCGTAGAGAATATCGGCTAGTATTTCGTAATTAGTTGTTAATAGGGTTATGTATCTATAGTTGTCAAACTGGAGCTGATCGCTTTTTTATGTAACCGGAATATCACGCCTTGAGACGACTCAAATGGCATGGTCTTATTTTGCCAGATAAAATATAAAAATGTATGCAGTTTGTTGTGTGTTATTACTGTTAATATTTATATTTCCGCTCATTACGAGATCTGTCATAAGTTTAGTATTCCTAAAATTATGTCTTAGTCTATGAATACATCATAGCTATTGTGTCTTATAAGTTGTCTATGATCAGGATAACGTCATCCGCAAACCTTGTATGATTTTACCTTTTCCGTCCATAGCAGTGCCCATTTTTGCCATTAATTGTTCTTAAATGTTGACTCTAGAGTTGGCGTGAACAATTTAGTAAAATATTGTCTCTAACATGATTGCTCATAAAAATAATGTAGCGCTCTTAAATGTTTATGATTCGTGCCCTCCCACTTCCAGTACTGTTTCAAACTAAGAAAACCAAAAGCCTTTTTGTAATCTACAAATGTAAGGATCGTATTATATAATTGCCACCAATTTATTGTAGATTTTATTATTCGCAAATTATTTTAAAGTCGTTTCTATTTATATAACAATAAAACACTAAAAAGATTATTTTTAAAATATCCACAAAATTAATTATAAAATCCTATCACTACACCTGTTTCATCAGAGTACCTTTCTCAAGTAATTTATTTTTTATATGCGTTTACATTTTATAGTCTTTAACGAACTAGGTTGAGAAGGGAAGAACTGTTTGTCTCAAGTTGGTCATTCAGAATTATGTCTGTGTTTTTTAATTTGTTTATTTTTATAGATTCTAATAAAGATGATAAAAAGGGAAAGTGGAAGGAAGAAGAGGTCCAGGAAGAAGAAAATGCTCCTGGTTGAAGAACATAAGAGACTGGACAGGCATGGACACACATGCGATACTAAGAACAGCTCAAGATAGAGAGCAATTTGCTGTAGTTATAGCCAACCTTCAGTAATGGAGAAGGCACCTTAAGAAGAAGGCCGTTATTTTGGATGTAAAGAATTTGAAATTCGTCATTAAAAGAAGGATTATGATCTAGAAGTTGAAGTGCGTATGTAGAATCTGTTTTTCTATAATTAAAGCCCTTTTATGTTGTGCTATACGTTTGTTAAAAGTTCTATCAGTCTGACAGATATAAGTTTTTGGGCAGTCGCCACATTTAAGTTTGTACACATTACTGTGTAAGTGGTTTTTATTTTGGCTCTTGTTGTTTCTAATATTTTTGCCTAAGTTGTTCTAAAATCTGGTGATTTTCCTTTCTTTTTATGTGTTTGCCTCTTTTGTTGAAATTTTGTCAGTATATGTAATCGAGCAGAAGGCAAAAGTAATGTACATAGTTTTTTCTCTGGTGATGGAAATGTTAATTTCACGGCTTTCTGTCTCAAAATTTTGCAAAAGGGCGTTTTGCCTTTCATACACCACGCTTGTCAGGAGTGCCAGGTATTTCCTAGGTACTCAGATATTAGGTTAGATGATGATTTTTTTCTAGTAAGGTCAAATATTGCGTATAAATTAACCTCATCTGAAGAGTCTTTATCAGAAAATGGCGTTACTTATTTTTATCAGTGCTACGAATTCTGTCATACTTAGTTATTAAATTAAAATTAATTAAGATTTTTATTTCAAATAAAAAGGCAAACCAATAAAAAATTCATACGATATCGCAACATATTAAGTAATAAAGTTAAAATTAAATATTTACACAAGTTAGAAAGAAATATAATAAATAAAAACTTGCCTGTGCTATAAGTCGTTGTAAGTCTTCATTTTCACTGAGTAGTTTCTGATATCTCTCCTCTTCTTCTTTGGAAAGACCCGGATCTGGGTTGTATTTACTTTCAGCCTTATCTTTTGGATGTCTTATCACCTCAATTACCTAAAGATACAGAAATGAGCAGACATTTAAATATTCCTCATTAAATATTAAATTTTTGTTATTTATGATATAATTAACTAAATAGTTTTCTTCTTGAAATATCCCAAAAATACGACCCATAAACTTTCAACAGATTGGGTTTTTGTGTTTTCTTTAATAGCTGTTTAGATTAAAAATATAAAATGGTGAATACGCTTAATCCACCAGAAACAAAATCTAACAAATGGTGGCATATTTGCTCATGCACCATTTTTTTTACTGTTACATCAACATCTTCGCAATATTTATTTGATTTTTTCTAACAAATGGTGGCATATTGGCTCATGCACCATTTTTTTTACTGTTGCATCAACAGCTTCGCAATGTTTATTTGATTTTTTTTTAGTAAATACACTATAAAACAAAGAATTGACTGATGTAGTCATAAGATAACTTACTTAAATTGCTATAAAATTTAAATTTAAATGCTTTCTCATTGTTGTATTGTTTAATTGTCATGTTTGTTATATTATACAAACCTTAGGCACAAAGATGAGGGCCATGCTGAGAAAACAGCAGAAAACTATGGCTAGGGCAACGAATGCGTAACTGGCATCTTGTTGACTGGCAATTACCATGGTGACAGGAGCAGTTATCAGGCACAGTATCACAACATTGTAAATGCTCATTCCCACATATCTCGAATCGTTTATCTGTTTCACTTTCATTGATCTCGTTTCGTAGGCAAGAAACAAACCAAAAATCTGAAACAAAATATTTTTATTTGATTCGAAATAACGGAAAATAAATGATATTAAATTTTTCACTAATTTAAATATTATGTTTATATGGGATTAAGCTACAATTATTGGTTGTAATCAACATCACATAAAATCAAATCGTTTTACGTTTCGACTTTCTTGCCACAAATCGTTCTTAAAAAGATTATTTTAAAAATTCTAAGAAAATCTATATGTATAACCCAAGTTATTTGGTATTAAGTTATGTTACAAGTTATTACATAAGTTATACCTGAAAGTGCCACATTATACTCCCAGAAATAGTACTCGTTATATATCAACCAATGGTTATTAAAAAGTTGTGCTGGAATATTAATTAATTATCCCATTAATTAATCCCAAATCGCGTTACTAATATGGAATTAGGCAAAACACGTCTTAAGATTATCAGACAACCGATGGAAGAAACGTCTGGTCCAGTCTAGACCAAGAGAAGAGGTACTACGGAGTAGAGGACGCTTACCAACTAGATGCACTGACGACCTGAAGCGTGTTAGCAATAACTATATGCAAGACAGAGTCTATATCGCATATATCGCATATATCGCTCTATGCAAGACAGAGAGACAAAGACTATATCACACAAGACAGAGATAGATAGAAAGAGCTGAGGGAGACCTATGTCCAGCAGGGAACTCATACAAGTTGATAATGTTGGTAAATCTAGTTGCTAATGTATTACAAATAGTAGATTAAAACCAAAATGTAGAGAACTTCCTTTTTTTCTCGAAGAATGAAAATAAAATATTATTCAGATTTTAATGTAAGGAAATTAAAAGAAAAGAAGAGCTAGCTAGACAACGAATAGCTTGGCTAAAAAATGAAAGACAGTAAACTAGCAAAACATCAATAAAACTAGTGAGTCGCTGTAAATAAATTTATATGCATCAAAATAATCACCAACTTCCATTGAAGTACTGCAAGTAAATGATTAACTTTTACCACAAGATTTTCTACATATATTTAATAATTATACAGGGTGAGTTTTTAGTGGGACATTCCATTGCATTATAGTATAAAATAAAATTTATTAAGAAAATATGTAGGCAATGATGTTCTCCACACTTAGATAATATGCCGAATTCTACAGGATGATTAATACCTGCTTCTTGCTACTACAGAAAACCAAACACACAACTTTTTATGCAGTACAGTCTGTATGTTTTCTTATAATTAAATTCATCTTATAATCACTGTTGTTCTTACAGCATAAAGTTTTACACTAGTTTCATTTTATCATCATTAAGGCCTTTCATTCCTCATGAAATGTTTGCTGTTGTTACTTAGAGCTCTCTGATTCGCTTATTGCGGTGAATTATTCTGAATTCTTCTTGTTTATCAAAGTACGCATTATCAAAGTTTGCTGTATGACTTGGCTTAACTTACAATTTTGTTTCACTCATTTTGATATGTGCTCTCTTTTTTTCTGCAATTTTTTTCCACTCCCTTATTTTTCTACTTTTGGCATTTTGATGTCTCCCATGACCAGGTCCTCTTATTTTTCTCTAGGTCTTTCTCTTGGTCGTTCAGTTTCTAGCTTCCATCTGTTGACCTTATTAATTAGTACACCGTTTTCGTTTTTCCTTCTCTTTATGTCTTCCAGCCATCTAGGTCTTTGCGCTTTAATAAATTTTAATATATCTTCTTTCTTTATTATGTCTCTTAGTTCACGGTTAATTCTACTTCTTATATTTCTTTGTTCTTCATTACTATCGTGCCTATAACTTTGCTGAAGATTTTTAATATTCTTAATTTTTTTCTTTTTTTCCATCTTTATCTGTGATGCACATTGTCTAATCTGCGTACGTAACTACTGGTCTTATTGTAATTCTTTATATTTTTAGGTCTTGTCTTTTATTAGACTAGCTTCGATACCAGTTGTTTACAGAAATATCTAGACCCTAATTTTAGTGAGTCATCCACGACTCGAAGTTGAAAAAGAACTAGTCTCAGCGGTTAATTGCCTTCACCGAAAAAACCAGTATATTCCATGGGGTTCTTTGCAAAAGTAGATCACCGAACTTTCCAGATAGCGGAAGTTTCTTTATATATAAAGACGAAATTTTATTGAAGAACTTAGTCATAAGAAGATCCGGGAAACGCGATTTAATTGTAACGAAACGAAAATAAATTATTTGTAATATAAATTAGGATTAATAAAGACTTTAATAAATTCGTAATTAGTGATCGTGAGTTTTAATAAATTAGAATATAGACAATAAATTAGAATAAAGACAAATAAATTAGAACAATATAAATATACAACATTATTATAATCTTTGAAAATTGTAGTTTTCTATCTTAATTTCTCTTTTATTGCTATCTTCTTTTCTAGATATCAGAGTAGATATTTTGTTTTTCCTTCATTAATTTTTGGACATCTTTTTCGTGTTTCATTTGGCAGGGCAGGATTGTTACTACTATTTTAAGCTTTCCTCGTTTCTTACCATAAGAACTATGTCATCTGCATATGCTACTATTTGAGTTAAAAAGTGGGCTATAAATCCTTTGATTCCGCTGGTATTGACTGTTCCTTCTACTGCTATGTTTAATAGTATGGTTGACAGGAAATTGCCTTGTCGCACTTCTGTTTCTATTCCAATTGAGTTTGTGCTACGTTCTTCTGTTGTTATTGTAGGTCGAGATTCATACATAGATCCATACACTATTTATACATGTTTGCTTCTCACTGCACAGTTTTACTCGTGACTTCCGATTCAATACACTTTTTTTCATCTCGATACTGCTTTCTGTGTATACATATATTTTTTATTTATAACCACTATTTTTGAAGTTATTCTCAGTTTTTCCCCAAAAAGTAATCTAAAAAAAAATCGGTCGCTATGTACTTGTTCCTGGGATCACCGACAAAATGCTAATCTGCGAAGATTTGCATCGACTGACAATTCTTGTTTTAACTTTATGCTTCAGGGCTGCATTTCATGTTTACGGAGGATTTTTGTTGCTGAAATTTGCCTAATGTCATGTTGATATAAAATTTTACAAGTGTTGTTGTGAGGATCCTTAGTCGTTACTAATAGTTGCTTCTGTAATTTTTTTCATATACAACTCATAAGTTTGGATTCCTTAGTTCAGGATATCGTTGTTGATATATTCTGATGGCAAATAGGCATTATTTCGAACCCTCTTTTAATGCAAAAACCATATCAGTTAATTCTTTTACAAAAAATAATTTTTAATATTAAAGACGAGCCACATAGACCTGATAAAATGGTAATAATATGAAAACTGTGATTTTTTCAAAGCCTTTCAAGTAAAGTGATCCCTTATTTTAATAAGAAATAATTCGACACTTGCAAATAAAAACGTAACTCTTTAATCACAACTTTCCAGAAAACAAGTTTAAAGTTTTTTAGTTTTTCCATTGATGCAAACTAAGTTTTATTGATTTAAACGTAAATTTTGGCTTTGAACTAAAAGAAGATTTGTCGCTATATGTCTATTAATTATAAAATTTAAAAAATACTTAAATATTTGTAATTTTTTTTAATACTTAATATATGTGAAAATATGATGCAACTGCTTGCTCTCTCTTAAGTCAATAACGTCGTATCTGAAGATATACAAAAGAAGACAAAGATTAATTTGATAATGGTTATTCATTACTTTGTTTTCAAGGTAAAAAACTTGCTTAAAAATACAAAAATTTTTTCTGGAAAAGAAAAGTATACTTTACAATGTAATGATATCGTCGGCTTAATCTGCTAAACCTGTAAGTCCAAAACGGACATTTTTTCAGGAGAGACAAAAAACTTTCTGTAAATTTTTGTTTTGACAAATAGAAAAAACCAAGATATACGTTTGTCTACATATAACAAATTGGACATTTTAAGGAATTTCTAAGAAGTTATTTGATCTTATGACATATTTAATTGGACTTACAGGATTTTCCTATTTTTATTTAAATATTTTTGGGACTTACGGGATTTGATTACTCTAAGAGGTGGGTAAAAATAAATAATTAAAATTGAGTAAACTTATTTATTCCTTATATAAACGAACAAAACCTTAACCTAAAGATAATACAAAAATTTAAATATATGTCATATAGCATATCTAAAGATATGCCAGGTTGTCATAAAACGAGTGATAATCAGCTGGAATATTTATCTTAAGGAATTGCAAATGTACAAACTTTTCTCTTGTAATCGGTATGGAATTATCATATAAGCTTGGAATTTCACTAAATTTAAAGCATAACTCTTTTCTATTAGACTTTGGAACTCGACTAAAAGCAAGGTCTTGGTAATCTTGAGTATGTCTCAGCTTGTAAGCTATTGTTCCATCTGATGAACACTGCAAGGCGCGAATATCTGTAACATAAGGATCACCGACTCTTTTACCTGGATGCAAAGATTTTACAAACTGTAGTCCTTAAAAAATGTGTGGTCTAGATAATGAACTCTATAAGGTCTTGGATTTTTACGTGCTGTCTTACAAATTTCAACGTAGTCAGCAGGTACGTTAATATTATTAAGACGAAGTTTTCTTTCAATAGTAGAATGCATGGAATCTGCCTCCATCTGCGTGTGCCCTTTTTCGAGAAACTTTTGCTCAATTGTAATTTCTGATTCCATACTTAGGTTTAGAAGGGCGGTGGCTAGTGTTGAATTCCTGTTTTGGGACGTACAACCATAACTGTAAATAATAATTTTTTGATCAGGGTGATCTTTCGTGATATGATCTTTGAGAAAACTTTAAATTATTGAGGCATAGTCATTGGCGCTGGTACCGCCAGCGGCCTCATGCCATAGGTAGCAATGGCCATCTTTAGTTTTTATATCGAAAAATGTTAGATTATGTACTATCAGTTAGTCTTAAAATATTGTGAGGAGATGTTTGTCTTTGGTGACAGTAAAACTGATTGTAAATCCATACATAATACGATATTTTCTGACTCCTTATCTCGATTTTTTGCCTCCCTGGCTTCCCTTTTTTCTTCTTGGTGTTCATTAAAGATATCATCAGGTAAGTTGCCATTTCGGTGTGCCACACATTTATAACACTCGTCTTTCTTGGGACGGTACAGCGAGAGGTTCATTTCTTCAAATACGTGGGAAAATGAAGCAATTGATAATAAACCCATTTGTTTTTCTTGGCACCAGCTCGTATAGAATTAAAATCTCCAAATAAAGTTTGTTAGATAATGACCGGCAGTAGTGTGACTCAACTTTTGACAGCTCAGAAAAAAACTGCCTTAAATTTTTATTCATGTCCTTGTAATTTCATTGGAATTATTGTCGTCAGTTTATGTTTGACTAGTCGCTTCTTTTCTCAACCAGTCAAGTACCATGTCCTCCTTCAGACAATGTGTGTTTAAAAACATCTGCTTACAAACTCTAATAAGTTGACCTTCCTTCTTCGTGTAGTAAAGCATAGACTCCTTTCTTCTTGATGTTGTTGCATTTTGCCTGTTTCTGTCTTTTTATAGCCGTTGATTTTACTAAGAAGGATACATACATTTTTCTCTCGCTCCAGTTCATATTGGACCAAAATTTCATCAGTATCACTATTTAAATCCCTAATTATATATAGTAGGAAAACCCCGTAACTCCAACTTAATTTAGTAGTGCACTAAATTCAAATTATACGCAAATCCCGTAACTCCATATATTATTTTAAAGAGTTTATTTTAAGTCTAAAACTACATTAAATTATATTTAAAAGTTTAAACACAAATTAAGGACACTTACCTTATGTTATTTGCTCAAAATAAGTTTAAAAGATCGCCAAAAACACACAAAAAACAATATTTTACAAGACCAACACAGCTCGTGCTTGCAACGTAACGGACAATGGCGGACGTACGGTGTTTGCGCTGTGATTTCGGTCCAGTATGGACTTACGGATTTCGCAGATTTGATCGCAGATCATTTAAAGAATTTTTGGAGTTACTGAAATTTCTTAGACAAATTCACTAATTTTTTTTGCGAACGATGGCGTTAAAATGTCAAATTTGATCAAATGTGGACCTACGGGTTTTGCAGGTTAAGCCGACGATATATGTATTCAGTTTTTATTATCTACATCTTCTTGGATAAGTGCTTATTGGGGACGATTTTTATAAAAGTTGTGATACATTTCAAGAACTCCGTGCTTGCATAGGTATTGCAAGTGATCATATTTTTTTTGAAATGAAAATTAAGTTTTCTTAATAATAAATCTTTTTTATTTTTAATTTACTTCTCTTGTTTAAGACTAAAATACATTTTTCATTTTCATCTATAAAGTCATATTTTATTTGTGTTTTCAGCGGTTCTTCACTAGAGATTTTTATTTTCCTTACATCATTTCATCTAACGCACTTTTCGCTTTTATCATTCTTCCAGTTTCTATAATTGTTACTATCTGTTTTAAATCATAAACAATATCTTGGTTAACTTCTATTACATTATAAGATTCTCCAATGATCTTTGCCATCTCAATAACCATAATTCATTGGTCAATAGTATATACGACTTTACCTTTTTTTGCCGCTCTATTAGTGCGTGAACACTGTCTACCTTATTTTGGGTATGCCCTTTTTCTAAAAAACGATGGATTAAAAAAACTTTATATTTTTCCGCAGCATATGCATACATTGCATAAACACCACAATTTCGATTTTGTTCAGCGCAGTTGTCTATGTAGAATACAACGGTATTAACTCCATTTTGAATTTTGTGATATATAATCCAGTACAAAACTTGCAATTTTGATCGCTTCTCGTTTTGCAATTGTTTCATGTTAGATGTAATAATATACGTATAT